GAAGACAGAGAGGCTGTGTGACCTGGAGCAGGTTGCTTCACACTCTGTGCTGACTCACTTTCCTCTCTTTTTAAGAAGGAGTGTGGTGGTGGCTGCCTGGCAGGATCTTCTGCGTGAGATAATGTGGCTCCCGGCACATAGCAGGTGCTCAGCGGGAAAACGCCTGGTGCCCGCACCCCTCCCAGGCACAGCCTTCCCTGCAGAGCCCAGCTGGCAGCCCCCAACTGAGCCTGTCCTGGGGACTGAGTTCCTCCTGTCTCCAGGCCCCCAGGCCCCCGGAGGGCAGTGGCGCCCTGGCCTGTTTCTGCTCTGAATGAAGTGGCATCGTGGCTGGCTAGCATTTGAGAGGAGTGTTGTCTGAAAGCTACCTTTGCCCTTTGCCCCTCCTGTGGGGGCGTCATGACCCTTCTACAGACCGATCCTGCCCTGAGATGAGGCAACTCACCCAGCGTCACCCAGCTGGCCACCCACCTGGACCTCTCTGGTCACTGCACATGGTAACACCAGTTCATGCACTCGTGCCTCCTCAGGTGACACAGAACTGTGTGCTCTTGGCCTTCTGAGGAGGGACGCTTCCAGAGGCACTTCAAGGCAGCCTGGAGGGGCCAAGGGCCCAAGGCCACATGTGGCACCTTCTAACTCCAAGAGGCCTGCCCAGGGTCACAGTGGGCAGAGGGCAACAGAATGCCCACGTGAACCTCCTAGTCCACTCTTGTCTGCTCTGGAAGCTGTCCTTGTCCCCTGGGCTCTCCCTTCACAGGGTCACTGTTCCTCTGGCAGCTGACCAAGGGCTTATCATGCGCATAAATAAAGTGACAGTTACTTCAGTTACTTTCTTTCTCATTACAACAGTGTTGTAGAGTCACTAGAGAAATTTTAAGTAAATAAAAATAACCAGATTAATCTCCAATAAAATAGAGCCAACTTGCATTTTAACATATAATTTCCTAGTACATTTTCTGTGTGTATGTGTGTGTGTGTGTGTGTGTGTGTGTGTGTACGTATATATGGAGATTTTATTTTAGAGGCTGTTTCCCAACTTGCTCTTTTAGTTAAAACTGTGCCATGAGCATATTTTTTTTTAATTTAATATTCTTTGACAATAAACTTTGCTAATGGCTTCTGTTGGTTTTCGTCTTCACTGTTGGGTGACTTCCCAGTTTTGCCTCAGCCCCTGAGCCTGGTGGCTTGGCTCACAGACGGATGGTGCTGGCAGCAGCAAGGAGTGACGTCTGGGGTGGCCGACCAGGGATTAGCTGGAGAGTCTGCAGAGTCTTCCGAGTGTCCTCCCTCCGGCCCTTCCTCCTTTCTCCTTCTTAAAAAACCTTGTGCATGTGTTTTACTCGTCATGTGAATATGCATTTATTTGAAGACCGTCCGGGTGCGTCCTCCGAGTGGCCCCATGGCGTGGTTCTGGGAGGTGGTGATGCACGCGGTGGGAGAGGTCTCTGCTCCCCTGAGTGGTCCAGGGAGGACGGAGGTGCAGGGTCACCTGGGTTAAGTCTAACACAAAACCGTGGGTGCGAAGGAGCAGCCGGGGAGTCCGGCTGGGGAGGGCACCGTGTAGCCAAGAGCTGAAGCGAGATGGGGAAGGTGTCCCAGGAGGGCTGAGGCAGGTGCCTTTGCATTTTGCGGTCACTGTAGCTGCTGAGTGGAGACGGAGCTGCGGGAAACCGTTGACGGTCTCTGGGCTCATGCGCCACGGGACGGGGAACTCGGGAAGAGGAGGTTTACTTTGGGAAGTTGGAGGACCCAGGAGACCAAGGTTCCTAGTAAAATGAGACAGAGAAAAAGAAGAAATAGCCTGGGTTCTAGAAAGAGCAGAGGCATGACCCATCCCCAGAGGGTGTCCTTCCCGTCTGCAGTGACAGTAACCCACGATTACTCAGAGCTGAAGTCAGAACTCAGAGCCGGCTGCCAGCAGAGGCCCAGTGGAGACCCAGTCTTGCTGGCTTGAGCCTTAGAGGAGGCTGAGGCCCAGTGGAGACCCAGTCTCGCTGGCTTGAGCCTTAGAGGAGGCTGAGGCCCAGTGGAGACCCAGTCTCGCTGGCTTGAGCCTTAGAGGAGGCTGAGAGCCCAGGGAGGCCACTTGCCCGAGGCACCGGCTGGAGCTTGCGGGGAAGAGAACAGGCCTGCTTCCCAAGACCCCAGCAGCCAGCAGCCCCTCTGGGGTTCAAGGCAGCGTGAGCTGTGGAGGGCGCATCCTCCTGGGGTGAAAGTGGGTGAATTCCGCTGGTCCACCTCTGGCTCCCGGGCCATCCAACGCTGTGGCTCCTGTTCCATTCCTGCCCTGGCCTCCAGGCCTGCAGCTTCTTCCTGTCCCAGTGTCCCATCCCCTGCCCTGGCTACTGCGGACTGTCCGCCCTCTGTGGTGCTCTTCAGTATGTAGAATTGTGCCCCCCAAAGAGGCTTCAGACCGTGAATGTGGCCTTCTTCTTAGAAATAAGATCTTTGTGGGTATTTCTAAATTCAGGCAAAGTCTCATGGGATATGGTGGCCCCTAACCCAATAAGTAGGATCCTTATAAGGCCACAGAGAAGGTGACATGAAGATGGAGCCAGAGGTGGGGGTAGAGGGTCTGCAGGCCAAGGAGCACCAGGGTGACCAGAGCCACCAGCGCCAGGGTGCAGCAGGGGGGACCAGGACCTGGCTCACACTGTGACACCAGGTGTCTGGCCTTCAGAGCGGTAGGAGAATGCCTTTCTGTGGCACCCAGTTTGTGGCCCTTTGTGACAGCAGCCCCCCCCACCCCCGGCACCGCTGGCCTTCAGTTCTACCTGGACTCTGCCTGCCTTACAGGGGTTTTCCTTGGCTCCCAGGCATCGCCGGTCCCAGGTGGCCCATCTGTGGCACCCGTTGCCAACGCCCCGCCCAGCCTGGTTGGCAGAGTGCCCCGCACACGTTGGAGACTAATACATATTTGTTCAATTAATGCAGGGCTGCCCAAGGAGGATCTTCCAAATGTACTGATCCTCTGTATTTGGATCTGTGGGTCATGAGATCCCCAGTCAGAAGATTGCCGGGGTGCTTCCCCTGGAAATCCTCAAAACGCAATTATTCAAATTGAGTCGTTCACCCCCCCGGGACCCGAGACCCGAGCCGTGAAAACCTTTGAGGACTTTCCAAACCAGGGTCCATTCTTACTGTTCAGCGTGGATGTTTTCCTGCTAAGGACACGAACCACAAATGAGTGCTGCCGAGTGATAGGCAAGACCTTATATAGAATAAAGGAAAAAACCCTCCGAAAATGTAAGCGCTTTCACACTGAAGCCTCTCCAACTTCCCCCTTCCTGCCTCCAGTCACCAGAACTTCCCAGACTTATTTCTGAGGTCATGATGGATGGTGGCCCTATTTCAGACCTCCCCAAATTTGGTTGTATTTTCCCCTCCTTGGGTTTCAGACAGAGATGTTGGTGAGTGCTCATAAGTGCTCCTAGAATTTACATCTGTGTAGGTTTGGCCTTTGATGGATTCAGAATTGTCTTTTAGTGAGCACCTACTATGCACCAGGCAGATTTTTAACTTTGTTTTACTTACTCTGTTCCAGAAATTTCAGTGCACTATTAAGCAGATCCATTTTACTGGTGTAAAAAACTGATGCTCAGAGAGATTAAGTAATTTGCCTAAGGTCATTCAGCCTGCAAGTGCTACAGTCATTTTCAAATCTGGGTCTGTCTGATTTTAAAGCCAGTGGTTTTGATTTTGGAGTTTTTTTTTTTCTTCACCTCTAAATTTTACAACCCAAAATACCACCCTAGCTAGAAATTGCAAAGGGGCTTTATTATAAGAATGTGGGTTGTATCAGGGACTGCCCTGTGGTTATCCAGCAGCCTGTCAGGAATTTTGACTGTTAGATGCTAGGACCTAGGAGCCTTGGCAAGCAACCTGGCCTCTGGTCATCTGCTCCTGGGGCTGCTCTTCTGGGGGTGAGAGATCATGTATCAGAGCCTCTCCAAGGCTCTGTGTCCTCCTCTCTAAAATGATCAAAAATAAGGGTAGACACCTGGCCTCAGGGTCCCCCTTGGGGTGAAGTGAAAGGAAACAGTAGCCGCGGCTCACTCTCCCCGTCTTCCACTGTGCAAAGTGGACTCAAGGTGAGCCGTGCTGTTTCCCTGACCCGCTGTGTGGTTGGGCCTCTCCACGCCCTGAGTCGGTGATGAGGTGGGGAGGTACCAGCCTGCCGGGACTGTCACTCGAGCACACTGGATTTGTACCTGCCAAGCTCTGGGAGCCGAGTAGGGCGCAGGGTAAGGCCACAGGAGAGGTGGGCCTTGCCGTCAGGCGTCTGGTTCTCAGATCAGCCCGAACGTCATGCCGTTACTCGCCTCTTTACAAAGGGCAAGATTGGTAACTTGGCCGAACAGTGAGCCGACCTCCAGCCCAGGTTGGTTGAACCAGGAAGGGACAGGCTCTTAACATTCAGTTACACTGACCACCAGAAATGAGGTGGCTCTGTGCTTGGGGCTTGATGGTCTCCAGGAGCCATCTTGAAATTCTTGATGGTAATTTTATCTTGGATTTCTGTTGTGTCAGTCAAGTCCTGCTTCTGCCTCTCCTGATGGGTTCCCTGGGTTCAATCCCTTCCTATGGACCCCTGCCTGCACCTGCCTTTTCTCCTGCTAGGGACCTGGGCACCTTCGGAGGGTCAGGGCTGGCCTACATTCTCCTGTTCTGGGGTCATGAGCATCTATGGGGGGTGACCCACCCCTACCCCCAACCCCATCGACATCCCTGTGCCGGAAAGAGCAAGACATGGAAAGCAAATTTGAAAGCACCGTGACAGATCCAGACAGATCGCAGGCAGGAGGATCACAAGTTCAAAGCCAGACTCAGCAACTTAGTGAGGGCCTAAGCAACTTATCAAGACCCTGTCTCTAAATAAAATATTTTTAAAAAGGCCTGGGATGTGGCTCACTGGTTATGTGAGAGTGTGTGTATATATATATACCTAATATGTATATATATTAGGAAAAAAGGGAAAAGTTTTGTTTCATTTTTTCTTTTCCTTCAATAAGCGTTTTATTTTTTTGCATTGCGTTTTGCTAATTACATAGCCAGCATGAGACCGAAATGACAATTTCTTCCCCCCGTCAAACAAACAAAAGTACTTGTTTCAAGTTTAGTAATTCAGTGCAGCCTGTTCTGACCTTTTTTGGTGGGTGGTGGGTAGGGGTGCTAGGGTTGGAACCCAGGGCCTTGTGCTTGCTGGGCCAGTTCTCTTACCACTGAGCTGCATGTCCCCAGCCCCTATTCCGACTTTTGATTCATAGGTACAGACAAAGCCTTTTGATGAGGACCAGAAAGTTGGCACTCCTGCCACCGCCTACAAAGGTGTTTTCTCCAAAGCTACCCGGGGCCTTTGTAGGATTTGCATCCAAAATGTGGGCCCTCCGCCACCAGTGGTCTGATTGCTAGTGGAGGACAGGGAGATCTTAGTTTTTCCTTCTTCTGTTGCTGTAAACCTCAGATGTGGTCTTCTCTTTAAAAGATGCTGTGAGCGATTACTTTATGCAAATGTGAGCATCTCTGGATGCCTGGCTAGGCCAAAGCTAGGCCCTGGAGGTCTGAAAGGTGGACCCCATGGGCTGGGCAGGGGGCCAGGAGCAAGATCCTGCATGTTGGCCTCAGCAGCTCACCACTCTGCCCTCGGGACTCCTCATGGTAAGAAATGGGCAAGTCCTAGCCATGCAGGGTGGACGCTGAGACCCGTGGAGTGGGAGAGCTCATCTGGCCCATCTCACCAGTAATAGATGAGGCTCCTCCAGGGCAGAGAGCCCAGCTCAAGGCCAACCCTGGGCCACTGCAGTGCCTCGTGGGAGGCCTTGTCTAGGGCAGGAGATGACGCCCTCGCTGGGAGCAGCTTCCCCTGCTTCAGCCCAGCACAGGGTGAGGATGGGACTCCAGAAAGAGTGGAGGCTACAGGAGGCATCCACTAGGGGAGTTCAGGAAGAGTCCTAGATGGGAGGCCGGGGGAGACTGTCCTGCCTTCCAAGCCTACAGCCTAAGGGCTAGGCCCAGCCTCGTGCCCACGGCTGTGTCGGGCACCTTGGAACTCGCCCATGCAGTGTCCTGGGCTGTGGACCCCTGAGGCACCCGCACGTCTTTGCTGCACCTGTTCTTACCCCTCCCCAAAGACTCCCTCTCCATCCTCCTGTCCTGGATCTGCATCTTTGCAAGCTGAGCACCCTCTTCTGGCTCTGGCTTACAGGAGAAAGAAGGGGTCGGGCACAGCGGCCTTCACCTGGGATCTTTTGGTTGGGTTTCTCCACTCTGCGGGGCTCCCTGTCTAGTGAGGAGTGAGTTTGCACACTGAACTCACAGCACAATCCGTCAATGTTTCACCTGTGCAAACCACTAATAGTGAATGCTGCCTGCGTCCCCCCAGGAGCTTTGGTCCCCTTGCTGAGCGTTCCACATACAACACCCCTGGTTAATCTTTCACTCAGATACAACTTCCGTACAAGGAAGATCTGAAGTTCACAACGAACGCAGTTTTACACCCGTGTCTCCTCACCCGCAAGCAGGAGTGCCAGACATTTCCATCAGGCCAAGACGGTCTCCCTGTGCCCCTTTGACTCCCCGCCTTCACACAGAGGTCCCGGGACTCGATGGCTGCACCGCCATCTTGTTTTAGAACCCGAATCGTGTGTATTTTCCACGTCTGGCTTCTTTTCTTCAGAGTAGCGCTTCTGAGGTCCCTGCAGGGCTCATGTATGCCAGCAGCCTGTGGCTACAAAGCGTCCTGTCCCCAGGATGCCTTGCGCAGTCTGTCCTTTCAGTGCTGCTGGGCATTGTGGCTCTTGTCACTCTGGGGGGTGACGAGCAGGCTGCTGTGAGCTTTCATATACGAGTCTTGTACAGACGTATGTCGTGGGGGAAATACCTAGGAGTGGAATCTTTGGGTCATATAGGAAGCGTATTTCGTGTATTTTTAGCCTTATAAGCAACTGCCAAGCTGATTTTCCAGATGTCTGTGTTGATTTTTCACTTCCACTAGGAGGCCGTGGGAGCTCTGGGGCCCCACACCCTCATCGGCACGTGGTATTGGGTATCGACCTCATTGCTGTCTCTGGCCATGCTAGTGGGTGCCAAAGGGGATCCCATTGTGGGTACAAGTTCCTTCCCAGGCCCTGTGCTTTTTCCATGTGTTTATTGGATCTATCTGCTCTTAAGAAGTGTCTACGTCTTTCTGCATTTGGAAGGAGGGTTGTTTGTCTTTTATTTACTGAGTTGTAAGTGCCTCCCCCTCCCTCGCCATATTCTAGATGCAAGTCCTGGGTTACACATATATGCTGTGCACATTTTCTTCCAGCTTCCGCCTGCATTACCCACTTTGGTCTACCAGGAACCCTATAAAGTAAGTGTTATTATCACCCACTTTATTTTACAGAGTCTCAAACTGAAGCACAGAGAGATTCAGTGAAGATCATTAAAGTGGCACGGCTACCAAGTAGCAGAGGGGACACCCAGGCCTACCTGAGTGTGGCCCAAAGCAGGAGCACACAGAAAATCCCAGGGAGCTCCCTTCCATCCGAGCTCCCTGCAGCCTGGAGGTGCGTGGCCCGGGCCGGCGCCTGGCCTGGGTTACTCTGGTTCACAGGCGCTCCCTCTGCCTCGCGCATACCAGACCATCCTGGGAAGCAGTCAGCTCTCAGAACCTGGTGTCTCAGGAAGATGCCACGTGGCTTCGGGCTGCTCTGATGAAACACACAATGCGGGTATTTTTATGGGCCTCTGAGGATTCTGGCAGGATGACCTCATGCCAGGAATAACAATGAGGGGCCTGGGGAGCTTGCTGCCAGCCCTGCTGCATGCGGCATGGCTGGAGGATGGGAGCCAGGCGATGGCAGGGCAGGGCTGGGATACCTTGTCCACAGATGTCCCAGGAAGGGCCCCCAGGGCCTCCCCCGCCCTTTCTCCTCCTGGGCAGGGGAGCGTCCCTCCAGCAGTGAGAGCAAAGGGTGGGGGGTTTTCTAGGAGCCAAGCCAAGGCAATGCCAGCCAAGTGGTGCGCCTCTTTTGAGCACTTGCTGTGTGCTGGGCTGTGCTGCACTTTGCAGCCCTACTGGGCGCCAGGGGCTGTGTAGGTGCTTAGCACTTGCTAGCCCAGTCCTCAGAAGACCCCAGGAGAGGTGTCATTGCGATGCCCACAGGAGGAAGCTGAGGTTCCGAGAGGCTGGGTGATTTGCCTAACGAGCTCATGTTTGTAGGTGGATGAGGTTTGAGAAGGGTTCAGCTGGTTTAAGCCCAGTTGCTTACTGGTTATGCTCTGCTGCCTTTCTCTTCAAAAAAACCCGGGTCTGATTCTGTCTTTGTGTCATGGACATCCTGAGGGGTCTTGGTCAAGGGAACAGAATGTTGAATATGACGGTCTGGGCACCGTGTGAGTGGAATGGTGGCCCTCCAAGGAACATGTCCCCACCCCAGGACTTCTGAATGTGGCCTCACCTGGACAAAGGATTTTTGCCAACGTAATTGGGTGAAGGATCTTGAGATGAGATCACTCTGGATTCCCTAGGTGTCCTTAAATCCAATGGCAAATGTCCTGAAAGAAGGCAGTAGAGAAGAGGGAGAGAAGATGGGTCATGTGAAGGAGACAGACAATGGAGTGACACAGCCACAGCCACGGAATCCCAGGGCCTCCCGGAGCTCCAGGAGGCAAAGAAGTCTCTAGAGTCTTTGAAGAGAGTGGGCCTCAGCACATTCTATTCACTAGACATCAGTGTCCACTCCAGCCCACGCTCAGCTAGAGGGGGCTACACCAGGGCAGAAACCACGGGGGCACCCCAGCGCCACGAGGCAGGAACCCCCCACCTCTATGTCTGACGACACCCAGGCACCAGCCCCCAACTGAAAGGGGACAGCTATCATTTAACACTTTTAAGGACTAACCTTGAGCTGGGGCTCTAGCCCAGGGGCAGAGTGCTTGCCTCGCAGGTGAGACACTGGGTTCGATTCTCAGCACCACACATTCATAAATGAATATGTCCTTCGACAACTAAAAACAAATTAAAAAACTAACATTTACGGTGCACCAGCAGTGTCAGCTCCCCTGCTATATTCTCCAGTCTGTCACCCACGCCATGCTCCCATGAGTGCCGCAAAGGGAGCTGTTCCTGACTGCATTCCACAGAGGAGGAAACAGGCCCGCAAAGGTGAAGGGCACCGGGAACCTATCCGAACAAGTCAGGGGCCCTCAGACTTTGGCCATGCAGTGTCACCTGCGGAGAATTTCCAGCCGCCTACGTGGTTTCTGATTCAGCAGCGTCAGCGTGGAACTCCAGGAGGCCTGGTTCCCAGGAGAGAGGGATGCTGCTGGCTTGTGCAGCAGGCTCTTTGAACCATGGAGACTCGCTCTACGTCGTAGCAACAGACAGACCCTAAAGCCATCACCGCATACATAATATGGCTTGCTTATAGGCTAGGCTCGCTTGCCTTCGCACCCCGACCATTGGCTAAAACTCAGCCTTGTGGCCCACACCAAGGGAGGCTGGGAAATGCAGTTCTTCCAGGAGGGGGACATGGGGTGGGGGCCAGGCTCCCCTGAGCCTGGGTGCTTTCCCCATTCACCTCTTGCCTTTTCCCTGATTTGGGAGCTCTTGGTGGGTGTCTCAGGTTCACCAGGGTTCAGGAACATGAGTGTGTGTGTGTGTGTGTGTGTGTGTGTGTGTGTGTGAAATTGAGAGAAAAGTCTCCTACGCGCAGCCTCACCCGCCTGGAGCTGCAGGTGCCCAGCCTGACCGCTGTTGAGTCCTCTCAAAGTGTCCACAGGGGACTCTGGCTAAGGTTTGCCTCTACCCTCCTTGACACTGCAGGGCGACAGTGTCCAGAATGCAGGAGCCCTGGGGCTCTGGGCTCCCTGCTGCAGACCAGCTGGGTGCAGAACTCGCTCTTGCCACCCTGCCCTGCGCCCCTCAGGCCCCCAGCCCGCTGCCTCAGGCACCTGCCTTTTCTAGCTCCCCTGGTTTTGTGTGTGCAGTGACTTTGGCCTGAATTCCTTCCCTTCCCACCTGACTCCACTCAATTGGCACCAGCCCCATGAAATCCTCGCCAGTCAGTCAAGTGAATATTCAACCTGCCCTCACTCTGGACCAGAGGCGTGGACACGAAAGGCCCACGACTGTCCCTTCTTATCGACTCTGTGACGTGTTCAGGGGCCAAGACTGTGGGGCACATCTTGCTGGCCTCTTCATTACGTGGGAGACTCAAAATCCAGAGCCTTCCTGTGGCCTGTACAGCCTTCCCCACAAAATCCAGAAGTGAGAAGGGCAGACGGTGACATTCGTGTGAATCCTCTTGTGGACTGTGTGACTTTGAGCAAATTCTTAGCTTTATCATGTCTTGGTTTTCTCATCTGTAGACTGGGCCTCATAATGTTGTGCCTTTTCAATGAGACAACCCACCTGAAGCCCTTTGAAAAGCACCAAGTGCATGGGAACCAGTCAAGAAATGCCAACCATCATTCTGTTATCAATCATTGCTCCTGTTACCTCAGTACCTTAGCACATGCTGCCCAAACCAAGACACTTACCCCTGACGGCTGGGATAGTTTTGCACTCCCCTTTGTTTCACACTCCATGTCCCTTTTGCTCAGAGGTTCCTGTCTTTCCACCACTTGTTCTTTGAGTGGTCCTTGCTTAACTTACTCCTATTCATCCTTGGGCTCATCTTAGCCTTTGGACTCTGTTCTCACTGGGTTTACCATTCAAGTTCGGAAGATCCATTTACTCTTTTTGAATTTCTGTGAAAAACTTGATAGAAGTAAAAATGCCCTTTTCCCACCAGTTGTTGGTTCACTACTCTGAACCCCATTCCTTTTATCAGAGCTGGCATGTACTGGATGCTTAGTGTTTGCTGAATGAATATAGGAGTGTTGCTCACCTCCGAACCTGTCCCCACTCCTTAATGCCTGGGAGGTGCTCCACCAAGGACTGTTTTCCTTGCATAAAACCAAACCACTCTGGACCCGTATCAACCAAGAGTCCTGGCCACAGAGGGCGCTTTCACCCGCACGTCTGAGTTTTGCCATTTTCTGCAGTGGTGGGCTCTCCCTGGTCCAGCTTGACCAGGTTTAAGATGACCAGCAGGGCTGTCCTCTGAACATCATTTGTGAAAAAGGATGCCACTTGCACCTGTTTCTGGGGCCATCCCCCAGGACATCAGAGACCTCAACAGCAGCCGTGTTTGCTGGCCCACTTTGCCGTGTTTGTCTCACCATCTCCTGGGACTGGGTGCCTGGAGGAGTGCCTAGTCACCAGAGGTGTAGGCAGGGCTCTTCCCACCTTGGCCACCCCCTTCGAGCTGAAGGTTGGGAGTGACCATGCTTGCCCCTCTAGTCTAGCGGGGGGCGGGGGTGGGGGGGTGGTGACATTTGGCCAGAACATTCCATTGGTCTTCCTTCCACGAACTCATCTGACTTCTTTGGCAGCTGAGGTCTGGTTTTGATTGGCAAGTTGCCTTTAGAACTCTGCCTCCTTTCAACCTCACTTTCTTTAATTCCTTTTGTTTATTTATCTGTTTGGGTTTTGTCTCTTGGAATGATAGGGTGGGAAGTTTGTTCTCCCCAGGAGGACAGATTGGCCTTCCGTGAGGGGTGGGGATGTGGGGCTTTGGGAGGCAGGGTCTGTGTTCAGTGTCACAAGGCCTCCGTGGGGGGTCCCTCCGGGCCATGGCCTGTTTCTTACAGGTTTATAGACATTTTCCTTTGGTTTCTAATACTCTGTAGAGGAGGTTGCTCAGACGTCATCCCGGTTTTGACTTCTTCGTGTCCCTTGTCATGCTGAAAGTCACGCGTATTTTCTGAGCACCTCCCTCTCTTTCTTCCTGCAAAGCACAAACAGTGTTATTAAAACTTGAGTATGTGGCGGAGTCGCACACCTGTTGTCTCAGTTACTCCTCCCAATCGTTCTCTAAGGTCAGTATCGTTGGTCTCGTGCCACCTGTGAGGGCACTGTGTTTAGAGGCTCTAACTTCAAAAAGCTGGTGAACGCCTTGTTGTTACATAGAGAGTCTGGCTGTCCCTCTAAGAGTCTCACCTTGGATCTAACTTCTCGGCTGTTTCTCAGGTGATTTTGCCATTTGGTTTCGGTTGCATTGTGTGCTGCGTGCCCAGTACCACGGTGCTCCTGGCTCAGGGTCTCTTGTAATAAATCCTTCAGAATCTGGGCTCAAATGCTAATTTGTTTGCAGTTTTTATTTCCCTAAAGGAAAAAAAAAAACACATCCATTTATGTTTCTCTCTTTTATCTTTGCAGGCCCTTAGGGGCCCATTCTCAGAGGTGGCTCTTTTAGGGCCGATATAACCAAGAAATCAATACCGCCCCCTTGGATTCACCCCTGGTAACCATCGTGCCCCTGCATCCTGTGCCCTGTGATGTTGACAGAGGTGTCCGAGCCAGGAGGAGGGGAGGTGCTTAACAGGTGGGACGGGAGCCTTGAAAATGGGGGAGAATTAAAAACCCCTGGAGCCTCGCTCAGTGGACCAGAAATTGCAGGTTGGTGCCCAGGGTATAATCAGGTCTTCTTTCAGAAAATGTAACGGCTTGTGGTCAGACGTGGAGGGGTATCTGCAACCCTGGGGCATCACAAGGACCTTCAGAAAAGTTCAGTCAGCAGCTGTGGGGTGCAGCTGCTGAGCCGGGGGCTCAATGTTCTCCTTCAGGGACCAGGTACTCAGCACCTCCAGAGGTGGGCTGGAGGGTGGACAGGAGCCATGAAATTTCCTTCTTCCAGTGCATCCGGGCTCTTGCTGCTGCGGCTGCTCTCGTCATTTCCTGCCTCAAGGAGAGAGAGCATTTTTTCTAGGCATGGTGCGTGGCTCGTGGAAAGCACTTGGGGACAGCTGGGCAGTAGCTCCTGCTGTGGTCTGTAGAACCTGCTGGGCACCACCTCCCTGTGAAGTGTCACTGTAGGTGAGGAGCTGGGGTCTGACGGGAAAGGCAATGTTCCAAGCCCATCATTCACAGAGCTCACCTTCTGCAGGGACTGAGAACTGAGTGAAGCGGTGGCCAGCACTCCCTGCCCTCCGAATCCTCTTCCCTTCCTTGTGTACAGTGACGCTCTCAATAAGCTGACCTTGCTCCCTTGGAGACATGTCTGGAGACATTTTGGGTTGCCACAACTTGGTGAGGGGTGGCCAAGGTTGTGTGTGTGTGTGTGTGTGTGTGTGTGTGTGCGCGCACACGCGTGTGCGTGTGTATACACACATTATCAGTATCTGCAGATTGAGCATACCTGATCTGAGCATATCTAAGTCAAAGATCCTACTTTGACTGGTCTCCCTGGTGCGTCTGATTGTCCTCCAGCGAGGGAGGGCTGGGTGACCCCAAATATGAAGCTTTTTAAATGCCAACATGACACTGAGAGAGGAAAAGCCCACACCATGAAACTTTGTTTATGCACCAAATTATTAAAAAATTATTGTGTAAAATTGACTTCAGACTATGTGTATTAGGTCTGTATGAAACACATCCACTCCCAATATGTGTCATTATGTACATGGAAATATTCCACAATCCCCCCCAAAATATGAAATATGAAACACTTACGGTCCCAAGAACTTTGGATAAGGGATGCTCAAACTAGTAAGTAGAGGCCGGGGTGCTACTGAGATGTCTTACCACACAGAGGACAGCCCAGCAGAAGAGTTACCCAGCCTGCAACGCCAGTGTGCCGCGGTTGAGAAGTCCTGGTGCACAGAGGTAGCTCCTGGCCTGTATCTGCATTTCCCAGGTTCCTCTGCCTCTAGGTGTGGCCACACGACTAGTTCTCACCCATGGAGGGTGAACAGAGTGTGTGCCCACCCGCTTCATGGGACTTTAAGAAGTGGATGTACTTCGTTCCTGGCCTTGGGCTGGAGGAAAAGAACAAGGTTCCAGATTCCAGGTGGATCCACCTGGGACCTGAAATTAGCATGTGGATGGGAGCTGTCCCCCAGGAGGAGACACTCCTGAACTGTCGTATTACTGGTAAGTAGAAATCTGTTGTGCTCTAACCCTTGTGCTCGGGAGGGAGGTCTCTCAGCTGTGGCAGTAGAATCTGCCCGATTGCTGCCTTCACTGAGATCTGCCAATGGTTCTCCCATGATAAGAAGAGCCAACATAAATTAAGACATCGGGCTCTTGAAATGCAGATCTCATTTTGTCTTCCTGTCAGTCCTATGAAAAGGGCACTATCATCATCCTTGTTTTACAGATAAAGAAACAAATGGTCAAGGTTAACAGGACCTGTAAGGACTACCTGCCAGTTTTATTTGAACTCTGTCCCCTCCCTCGGGAGGACTTCTCAACCGCGGCACACGGGCATTGCAGGTTGGGTGACTCTTCTGCTGGGCTGTCCTCTGTGTGATAAGA